GGATAAATTTGTAGGTACTTTCTGTTTCTTACGACTAATTTTTTCCATCGATATCTTTTTACAAAACTAAATCCAACAATAATATTACAACGTTTATATAACGCATTATATTGCATTTTATTATATATAATACTTTCAATGTAAAAATTTTATGGAAGAATTAAATATTGTAAGATGTAGAGATTTTTCTCACCAAATTCATGATTGAAGGAACTTACGATGATACTGAGACACCCTGTATGTAGATCTTATTTACGATTGAAGTCCATTTTCCAGAGAACATCGATGATCCTCATTAGGTGATCATCTTTTAATTAAGTCAGAAAAAGGGATGCCGGAGCCGGTTTCTTTTATCATTCTGAAAACAATCATCATATTTCACTGAAACAGATTAATGTGTCATAAAAGAATTTATTATTACAAACTTGGAAATATCTATCTCTTCCGCATATAACGGTACAAATGTATTTGTAATTATTTTAAATTACATAAATCTATCCTCTATCTTTGTATTTTACATTACTGCAATACTGTATATGTAAAATTTAAATAATAGAATGTCGTGATGTTTAACAAAAGCATTACAGGTGGGAAATTTATCGCTTGCGATTTATACCCTGAACAAGTTTGATAAACGTTAAAATCCCAACGTGAAAATCATTGGATCATTGGATCGCGATATATAGGAGAGATAGCGACGTCATCGATGGTCCCTTGGTAGTAGGAAGACATAATTGATACGTACAAATCACCCCCTGCTGCTGACGCGAGGAGGACGAAGCCACAGGGATGAGTATGGGTATACCGAGAAGGGACGATCGACGAACGGTTGTTTGACGGCACCTCTCCCCTCCCCCCGCCCCCTCCCTCTCCTACACCGACGCACTACGTGAAGCTGGTATCGCATTCACGGTCCACTGCCTCAGGATTCGGGTCCTCCACCCCGCTTCTCTGCGCCGGCTCTTCCTTGTAAAAAGAGAGAATACAGAGGATACACCACCCCTCTCTCGTCGGCGATCCGTAACCCCCGATTGTCAGAATCGAAGGTATCACACAACGAAACGTACTTAGCGAACCGCTACATAAATAACGCATCTGCCCGTCGCACTTTGCTGCTTTAAGCGGCTATGCATTTTTCGCTTCGTCGGAAATAGGTACTGTTTACACAAATGCATTGTGAAAGCTGTTAAATTCTCTATCTCGCGGAATTGTTGCAGAAAAACATTGCAAAAACAATCGGAATAATTATTAATTAAAATTCGTTATCGCTATTGAGCAAATTGGAAAAAGAGGAGGTCGCACGTCAAGAGACGAAGACGCGAGAGATCTTTTTGACAAAACTGCTTCAGCCATCCTCTTTGCAAATATTAAAAAATATATATACAATTTACAGTCGATAGTGAATTTTTTTCAACCCTTTAAACTATTTTACACGATGTGTTTGTAACATATATATTTATCTGAAATACGATGAACCTTTGAATGTTACACGAGTACCATGTGTACATTTATCATACTCGAAACGTGAGACGCTTTAACGTACGATACGCAACGCCCGCAAAGATGTAACGTCAGAATACGAAAGGCGGAGGAGCAAATGCACGTAAACTATAAGACTCTCATTCTAACGGCATATATTGGCTTTTTGCCAGGCTATGATGTCGGACCATTAACGAGCGGGCTTGCTTATCAGTTGCTGAGTTCGCGCTACCGGCGCCGGCGATGACCAGCCGTCCGATGAAACTGTTTCTGTCCTCGTATCGCCTAGAGAGACCGGGCTACGTCTCATAACTCGTCGCATGGCTGTAAATGACGAAAACGATCGGCGTAATCGCCCCACCACAACGCTGACGTCTATCCTTTCTATTCTCAATATCGATCGTTCATCGATCGCGATGCGTCCACTCGCGAATGCCAACCCTACGGCGAATGCCAAAGTTATCACCACCATTGACATCGCGTATTATATTACCGCATGTATTAGTATAATTGAAAATCTCTCGTTACTCTCTTGCCACTTTCAGATTTAATCTTTAAACATTCTATTTATTTTTTAAACATTCATTTCTACTTTTAAACACAGAGATAAAAATTTCTTGAGTTGATCTTTGAATTTGCTTCAAATTTCATCTATCAAAGTATGAATGAAAAAATATCCCAAGTAGCAAGATGACGTCATTATGATGATGTGTGTGTATACATATATATATATATATATATATATATATATATATACTTGGGATATTTGCTACTTGGGATATTAACTCTCTATTAACTTTAACGTAATAGTTTTATACCGTGAAACAAATATCAATTAACATAAAACAATATATAGCTGCATTAAAAAAAAAATGCAGTTGCGTTGTAAACATGTATCAATGCGTTAATCTAAGAAAAAGAAAAGTGAAAAAGAATAAGAAAACAGATTAGAAATTACATTTACACGATTGTTTCCTCTATACAAAAATATAAAAACAAAAGGATCGAACAAGCGAGTCGATCTACCCGATTAATTTCCGAAGTCTTTAAACGTAACATAAACCAAAATATCAACATCGAACATATACCTGTTGAATGTACACCTGTTAATTTAATATGATTCTTAGAGGAAAACTCGTAGACATAAGCGAAATAAGTGAAAACGCAAGACTCGAGCACGAGACGAGACGAGAAGAGGGCGTATTCGAATATGGCGGAAAAAGTGTCGGTCGCGTGGTCGCGCCGTCGGCAAAGGAGGAAAAGTGCTGCCATCACGGAAGCGCTTAGCGTCAGAGCGACGCTATCGGTGCGGCTTCGCTCCCTCCAAAATCGCGCGTATATTGGCAACATTGTTTTTTGGTAGTTTACAAATAAAATGGCCGATATGTGAGGCTAGTTTGTATGGACAATAAAATATGCAATTATGTAAAATTAATGACCGTCGGTCGTGCACACATCCAGACGAAGAGGTAGTCCTGTGAGCGCGAAACGCGGAAAAAGTGCGCGGAACGTGAGTGAGAGTGTGGGAGCGCCGCGCGAGGTAGGTGGAGGTTGTCTCTCTGAAGCCCCGTGGACGCCGCGGGCCCCCGAAAGACCGAAACGCGAGAAAATCACTTATGGTCTCCAACACATAGAAGAGCCGTCTAGCCGTGCGGCGTGCTTTTTTCTATTGGTGTACAGTGGCGCGGCAACGATACAAAAGCGACTCCTAGATCTGTGGGAACAGATTTCGAAAACGGAAAACGCGGCGAACCTTGGCCGCCTCCGTTCCGATATATTTCCGACGTGCGGCTCGCCTCGTCTCGCACAGCCGTGCTACGTCTCGGCTCGTTTCCCGGGGAGCGCACTGCGATCCGAAATCGGCGTGAGCGTCCCGGGAACACGTTGCACGCTTTTATGACTTTACTCAGATAATTCTGCAAAATTAACCACTTTTGCAGCTCCGTTCTGTATGTAGTCCGAGTAGCCGGGGGGCTTGCGGATACCAAGTCTGCAAGCTTGCGAGTAGCGTCCTGCTGCGTTCCTGGCCGAAAGATATGACACTCATGTTTTACTCCCAAGGCCGAGATACTGGAGCGTGACGGGTACGTTTACTTGGAACCTCTCAAAATATTTCCCACGGATCAATTTGTTATAGTGGAGAGGGCTGGCGCGGAAAATGCATTGATAGACTCGGAGCAGCGCATCGGTACCGCGTCCAGCCAACTTTATCCATCTGTCATACCCCTCACAAATATGTGTACCACTCCTGGCAATGCAGGTGCAGGATTCGGGTACGCTTGGTCCTTTGGTGGGCCAGGAACGGAGACCCGAGAAAACGCTCAAAGCGAACTCGCCACCAATATCAGTTATGCCGTCAACAATAATCAAGATCAGGGATCCAGTCAGAAGATACAAGTCGACATCAAACCGGCCAAAGTGGCCGCTACCACTCATCGTCGTCCAATGTTTGCGATGAACGAAAGTTGTCAGCAAACACCTACCACGCATCATGGCCATACGGGAGGAGGAGCACATAATCAAACGACCCATGGCACTCACGTTCGTACTAAAAAACATCACGATGTATTTTCATTGACATGCGACAAAGGGGGATGTAATTGCGATGCGGCACATCCTACACCTCCACCTTCCTTATTCTCAAATACTTTAGTTTTTACTACAGCCGACAAGCACGCCATGAGTAAGCACTTCATGACACCAATTGGACCGTTGCAGCTTACGGCAGAAGAGTGCAATGAGATCTTGATGAAGAGAGCAGCTGCTGCATCTAATCAAGCGAACGCAGCGAATAACGTTACAACCAGTCAAACGGACAGTACGGCCCATTTTGGACATGTTTTGACCCATGTGAATACAACGCAAATCGAAAAAGTCAAACAGCAACAAGATATGGGCAGTCAGGTCCGTGTGCCGAAAGAACGACCATATTCCTGTTCGGAGTGCGGCAAATCCTTTCTTCTTAAGCATCATCTTACAACACACGCGAGAGTACACACTGGAGAACGACCACACATTTGCGTTCATTGTGGCAAAAGTTTTGCGCACAAACATTGTCTTCATACGCATCTATTATTACACAGCGCCGAAAGGCCGTATCAATGTCGCGAATGTAAAAAGTCTTTCACCCTGAAACATCATCTCGTAACGCATACCCGCGTGCATACGCGAGAACGACCGTTTGTCTGTCAAGAATGCGGAAGAGCATTTCCTCTAAAACGTCATTTAGTGACGCACAGTAAATTTCACTCGGGAGAGAGACCTTACGTTTGCGAGGAATGTGGGGAGTCGTTTTCACAAAAGGATCATCTTACGATGCATTCACGTTTTCATGGTAGCCTACATCCATTTGTTTGTCATGATTGCGGTGCGACTTTCCAGAGGAAGTTTGAGCTAGTTAATCATGGCCGGCTACATGGCAGAGTTCCACATTCGTGTACCGTTTGCGGAAAGGAATTTCTGCAGAAGAGAACACTTTTAGCTCATATGCGTTTACATACAGGCGAGACACCCTTTGCATGTACTGTTTGTGGAGAAGCATTCCCTCGGAAAGCAGATCTGGTCGCTCATTCAAAGATTCACAACAATAATGCAAATACTGATGAAAAATCTCTCACATGCAGGTGAGATATACGTAACGCAACTACGATACGATCTAACTTTATACTCTTTACTCCATCAACTTTACTTTATATATATTTTATACTTTAGAATTGCTATAAAAGAACATGAAACTATTATATAGACTCTATAGAATCTACCTTTAATAATAATACACTTTTAACGGTAATTGGACATTTCTAATGTCTATGCTTTTATATCAATATTGTGCTTATGAACACATCAAACATCTTTCTAAATTTTTATGTTTGACAAATGATTATTATTTCAGGGAATGTGGATTGGATTTTCCGAATCGAGAAGCTCTAAATTTACACCAAAGGTTACATACTGGTGATCGTACACTTGTAACGGATCTTTGTGGGTTAGCCGCCGCCTTCCAACAAACTCCAGCACATTTCCTTACTCCGAACACTCCAGGAACTCATCAGGTAAATGATTATACATCAATTTTTAATCTAATTTTATACTAAGATGCCTTTAAATTCTGTAAAGTTTAATTTTTCTTTAACAGATATATATATTTCAAAAAGTCATTGTTTATTATTGACTTTCTTCAATATTGATATTTATTATTTTAATGTCATGAGTTTTCGAAACGAATTACTAATCATGTCATATTCTTTCATTTGTAATTGGGATTAAACTTGCAACCTGCTAATTACACATTAACTGTTTTTATCTGGAGCTTCAAGTTATTTCATATTTAATAATTTTATAATTTCTTTATCTCAAAAAATATTATTTTATTCTTTATAAAATATTATTTCTATAATATTAGAAAATATGATATTTTTCATTATTTAAAGATATCTCACTATCGATAAATACAATGATTTTTATTCGAAACATGAAATATATAAATTATAAATAATTTTCTACAGATGAACGGGCCGATAGGAACGCCTGGTGTTAGTCATATGCATGGCGCGACGCAAACGTCGCCACCAGTGAGTACAGGACCAAAACCTAAGCCACACATCTGTCCTGATTGCGGCCGTGGTTTCGCACAAAAACACGGCTTGTCGCAACATCAACGACGTCATACAGATGGCAGTTGCCACATAAGATCACACGTATGCGACAAATGCGGCAAAGCTTTCTTCCAGAAAAATCATTTGTTACTACATCAACGTCAGCATATGGATCCACCACCGAGTATACTTAGACAACAACAGAGACAAGCTGCCCAAGCTGCTCAAGCTGCAGCTCAGCAAGCACAGCAGCAGCAACAGCAGCAGCAGCAAGCGCAGCAACAGCAGCAGCAGGTTCAGCAGCAGCAGCAGCAGCAGCAACAAGTGCAACAGCAAGTACAGCAGCAACAACAGCAACCGCAACAGCAACAAACGTGTGCCGTTGATACGAAAACGATTCAACTACAGGCAATACAGCAACAGGTGCAACAACAAGTGCAACAACAGGTGCAGCAGCAGCAACAGCAGCAGCAGCAGCAGCAGCAACAACAGCAGCAGCAACAACAAACGCAACAACAGCAGGCATGTTCGGTGGACACTAAAGCAATACAGTTGAACGTCACCATGTGAGACGGTATAAAGATGAGGGACTGGAGAGTCCTTGAAACAATAGCACTCCCAAATGCGCACCCTGCTGCCACCCTCTGCACGCACTTCTCTTGTACTAACAATACACGTTAGATATATATTTATTATCTCTAGATTCAAAAATAATAATCAATTTTATTACAAGAATAGAATATATACAAAGAATATACATATATATACACTATATTCTAATTAATATAAGGCTTGTAACAAGAAAATAAAAGTAATCATATATTAGTGTTTTACATATACTTTATAAATATACAAATATAAAAATATATAAATATATATATAAATATATAAATATATACTCTAGACATGTAAAATGGACTAAACAAATTAGTTGCCTTAACGAGAAGAAGAATTTTAATGGACATATTAACTATTATGTTTGGTGATTTTTTCATTTACTTTTATTTAGTAGGATATCACTTTATAAGAAAACAGGTATTGAATAAATCGAGATAAGAAAAAAATAAGTTTCGCCCTGTACCGCTGCTTTGTTGTTATCCTTCTCAATGTATTTGTGCGATGATAATTGAGAGGAGGTAATCTATGTGTGAACAAGAGAGCCAGTAACAGAGAAAGAGGAAGCTACCATAAAAGTTCTTTCGTAGGAGTTGGCAAAGAGAGAAAGAGAGAGGGTGGCAGACACTGCGCATTTATAAAGCATTTTTTAAAGCTTAGATCTATACAAGGTAGCAGTTTAGCTCCGCGCAATTTATATTTTTACGTTAAACGATACGAGCGAATTGTTCGTGAAATTTTAGAAATACGTAAGAATCCCGGTTTTATAAGATCCAAATATCAATAAATGGATGTAAATGTTTTTTCGTGAAGAGTTAACGCGATGTATGGACGCCATATACGATTTAAATATTATATACAAAAATTAATGCATATATTAGTTTTACATCAGTAAAGTTATAAAAATTAGACAAGATTGACACATGTATTCTATGCAGTCAGTGCAACATCGAATCATTCACTAGACTCTGGGAGGCCACGAGAGATTCTAAGAGCCGTGACATGTAGAAAAATTTAAGTTGTAAGAAAATTGTGACCAATCATGTTCTATTCCTCTTATAGTCGAGGAATAATCATCTTATCTCTGTAGACTGAATACATGTCGCTAAAATTCGATACGTTGTATCGATTATAAATGACATTATAATTAAAAAGGTTTCATACTAATAATATAACGATAAGAATAATAATTAATTAATAATAAGCGGTTGGTATTTAGTTAGTAGAGGTAAGACGCGTGCAATCTGCTGCTGATGAGACCGGAGAGAAATGGCGCATAGAAGGAAAAGCAATCCCTTGCAGCTTCGCATCTAGTAAATGATTCGATCTTGTTGATTTATATACTTATACATGTATCAATCTTTCTGTACGTGCACTTCGCGTTTAGAATCCCAAGAAGCCTTTCCACGTGCTTAATTATCTTCATTAATTAAAACATTTTCCCCGTAATAAACCTCGTGCGCCTCGCGTGTATTTACATGCGAGATTGCTTAGTGGGCTCTTCTAGTAAAATGCAAATTTAATTTTGTCTTCATCAAGAGTATATTACCTAATAGTATAGCTAGAGAATCGGAAGAAATACGAATAAAGGTTTCCTACATAGTTTTAATACGTATCTATCTTTTTTTTCTAAAATAGCGTAAAACGCGCCGTTATATTGATATTTAAAGATTATGAAATTCAAATTTTGCGAGAATGATTATGTGTCAACTTTATTCTTTATCTCTTTCTGTCTCGAAGGAAAATCGTAAATCATCGATGATCGATCAATGTTTTATGTTTTCTTTTATCACGTTGAATTTAAAGATTTTTAGATTATTCCTTCTCTCTTTTTCGTTTACAAATTTATCAAATAATTTAACGCCCGAGAATACTGTGGACGCTACATCTGTATATGAAAGTAAGTACATATCGCATGAATCGTACATATAATACTCACTTGTTCAATATATATATATATATATTTAATATACAAAATAATGTTTAAAGTTATATCAAAATGATAAAAAAATCATGCAATATGTTTTATTTTTGTTAATGTAAGAGAATACATATAAGAAAAAAAGCAACATAAATTATAACAATCTTTTTTAATCTAGTATTAATCTAGTATTTTTTAAATACACAAAAATCTGAAATATTTTTTGCTGTGTTTTATGTAAAAAAAATCTTGTGTTAAAATTAGCATAAAATGGATATAATGTATAAAATTTCGTGTAAATTAGCTTTAAAGTGTCAAGAAAATTTATTACAAATTTCAAGATTATTATTTACTACAATTTAAAAATTTTAACATTTCATAGTATTCTCAAATTTAAAATTTTATAAAATCTATTTCAAATTGAATAATATGTGATATTTCATACGTCTCGGACTTGATTCGCAAAACATTTTTTCTTCAAATGGATTGCACTACATTTTTCTGAAAACCTTGCTAAATGTTTTTTAAGCCTGAGTTAAAAGATATACACATTAAGCAAATGCACATGTTAATCGAAATAATAATTTTTGAAAATTTTAAAACAAAATCAATTCATGAAACACATTCTTTTTATCGCGTGAGACAGTCATTTCCGTCAACTTTTAATCGATAAAACTTAATCTATCAGACCTGAGCAAGAAGATATCGTGAGTAAAGTGAAGAAACGTGTTATTGTAAATTTCGAATTTGCTCTTTTGAAATCTCTCGAAAAATAAGGATATCTCATTACATTTAATCGTATGGAAAATTAATTATGTTAGAACATATATAATAAAAAAAAAACATTTAAATCATATCTCAGTATCTTACGAAGCTAAAAATAAAGCATCGAGCTGATGAATCATTGGGAAATAATGTATGAGTTAAAATCACATAATTATCCATACTTAATACTTTACGTTTTGTCTACGGTCTAATATCGTCTAACGCTCGTGCTGAAAAATTTCCTTTCACTGCATTTATATCACAAACAAGATTACATATAGAGTTAAAAAATGTTGCAGGCAAAACGCAATAAAGCTGACTTATTACACGCAAATTATTGATATGCGAACGGATCTTGAATTTCTCAAAATAATGAAATGTTAGCTTTGATGCTTGGAATAGGAGAAGGAAAATGCGTTTGATATTTGAAATATCTCATGTTCTGAAATCATGATTTTAATATTGAAACATGGGTAGTAACAGGCGACATTTTAACAATGAAGAAAATAATGGTATCCTTTTTGAAGAAAAGAGGATGACAGGAAAAGTAATAGAGGAATATTATATAAAGATTATTCTCCATAAAGTTACGCAAAGAAAAGAAAAAAGTAAGATGTGAAGGACAAAGAATGATACTTGTCCCGATTCACAATAGATATTGGCTAAAATAAGGAGAAAGAGAGGAAAGAAAAGATATATATTTTCTCATGACATATCTTTGCAGTATAAATTGATATAAATTGTATAAATTTAATCTAGACATATAATATAAATCGTACAAAACAGCGTGTGTGACATCTTGTACGTATTCCATTTGACGCAACGCGACGCGACGCAAGACGAGGCGAGGCGAGGCGAACCGACGACATTTCTAAACGAGATATCGCGCCCTCTACCGATGCTGTCCGTAATGAAGAAGCGGCGCGGAGCGCATGCGCGTGGGTCATCGTATGCGCGATTTCGCCTGCCTGCGGACGAACCGAAATAAATCGAACGACGCCGAGTCGATCAGCGGTACGGCGTTCTCGTTGGACGTGCGCGTTTCGCGTTAGTGATGATCAAAACGAATCGCCGTCGTTGCCGTGGTCGCTCGTGGCACAGCACGCAGACGAAACAGCCGTGATCCGTGCTCAGTGATCCGTGATCCGTGATTCGTGCTCTGTGCTCCGTGCTACGAGGCAGAGGGAAGTCCGAGAACCCGCGTCGTCGTCGCGCTCCGCCGCAACGGTCACGGATGCATATGGAGGTACGTAAAAAAGCCACGATCGCCAGACGACGTGTTCCTCTTCCATCCGCGCGCTTTGTTTATTTATCTCGACGCGAACCCGCCGCGGTTTCGGAGCATGACGAGACGCGCGTCGCGCGACCTGACGCTACGCGACGCTACGCTACAACGACATAGAACGATCGCGAGAGCGACGCTGGACGCTCTTGCGAAATCGGAGCTGTAAAAACGACGCGCGCTTTACGTCGCTTTGCATCGCGGAAACGACTTTTTTCCGCACCGAATTTTCACGTCTTCTCTCTCCCGTTCCCGTCGATCGTCCCGTGCGGCTGTGGAGCGTAATCGCATATCGCAACCATAGTTACGTACTCCATACTTGTCTGTGTCTCTCTCTCTCTCTCTCTCTCTCTACGCTTGTCTCTCCAACTACGCATTATGTTTTTGAACCTCCCTCGGCTCCGTCGAGGATGCGCCACGGGGCATCCTCCTCGCGGTAGACGACGAGAATAATCGCGTCTCGAATCCGTGCGACGCGAATGCTCGCGCGAGTCCGGTGCGTTAAAACAAGCGAGCGAAGCAAGTCGGGTTTGTGTACGTTCTCAGCTGATGGGGGTCTGTCAGCTGCCTCCGTCGTCGTCGCCTCGCGCTCCGCCTCACCCCCTCACACCCCATTTCCCCTCGCCTCACCTCATCACACCTCGTCGTCTCGCTTCGCCTCGCGTTCCGTTTTGCTCTTTGTCTGGCTCTCTCGTTTGAGCATCACGTCAGACGATTAACGATCCAACGATTCTCCTTCCGCCGTTATCAATGGGTCGCGGGGATTTTCTCCAATGCGCGCCATATCGCGCGAGCCTACCTTATTTTGCTTAAGTAAAAAAAAAAAAAATTAGCTCGTTTTTAAGAAAGGTCTACGATATTTCAAGATGAAAAACAAAACCGTACAGACGTAGTGTTCGCGTGCGACATGGTACACTCGGAATTCATCAACGATATTTCAATTTTAAAACAACAAACGGCGGAATCTTTTCAACCTTTACTCTGGCTCATTTCCTCGAGTGAAATACAAATGTTTGTTCGTACGCAAAATGGACCTGTCTAGACATCGATTGTATTCGTCGCGCGTTGGCCTGTTTATACCAACGAAGCTATTTATTTCTCTTCTGCGCGTAACAGATCGCAACACGCATATGATAAGCGACATGGCGACGTAATGTCACCAAATAATGCGCATCGGCATGTTTTGTATACATTCACAGCTGATTCAACGCGTCGTAAAAACATCAGAACGTTTGCTCGCGCGTTCTCTCTCTCTCTCTCTCTCTCTCTCTCCTCCTCCCCCCCCTTCTCCCCCTCCTTTTTTCTCTCGAGTACGCTTCGCTCGGATATTCAAATTGCCCGCAGCTATTTCCATTAGAGCTTTTCGCAATTATGGTTTCGCGATCGGGAAACAGGGGATACGCAAAAAAAAAGAAAAAAAAAAATAAACGTAATCCACATCGGTTAAACGAACGTACAGCGCATTGTTTATCCATTTAAGTAGTTTCCGAGAAGATCTCATATCTCGTCCGGATGTGCGTGAGTGATTTCTTCCCACGTGACGGTTAATGACGATCTAGCGATCAACGGTTAATTTCACGCAATTAAACCTAGCTTTTCGGCGCGATCGATCGCGTGCTCGATCGTTCGATCGCCTCACGCTCGCGAGGAACGAGAGAGATCGAGGAACGAGGGTGAATCACACGCGAGATGTCCCTGCGTATTCCGGGCGTCTCGGACGCGCGACATTTATGTACGCGCGTCTCGATCGAACGTGGCGTCGCGTCGCGTCGCGTCGCGTCGCGTCGCGTCGAGTCGAGTCGAGTCGAGTCGAGTTGCGCTGCGCCGCTCCGCGTGAACCTGTTGGACAACGGTTTTGTGTACATTTACAGCTGACTGGACTATCAGCTGATTGCGCGCGACGGAATCACCGCGTAGCGTGACATGCCTCTGCGCGCGCGCGCGCGCGCGCGTGTGCTTCGTCATCTTCCTCTTTCCCTATTGTTTGCAAATACGTGTGCGCGTTTTTTCTCTCCCTCCCGTTGGAAATCTCCTTTCTCGAAACTAATCTCGGAAAATATTTCAGGATGTACGTAGTAAAGAGCTGGATTTAAGAGCGTAAAGAGTAAATAATTGCATCATCGCTCCGCGTACGCTCTTGTAGATCGCATCGGCGATATGAATATGGCTTTCTATAATTTTCTCTTCAACGACGAATATCATCGAGACGCCGCAATCTTTTTCTATTCTTTTTTTTTCTTCTCTCTTCTTCAAGTATTTTTCTTCTCAAAGAGTTTTTCTCTATGCAAATCACTTGATTACAAATCGAGTCCTCTGTTCGAAGACTCATTATCGTACTTTACCCCTACGTGAGGATTCTCGCACGACTAGTGGATTGGCGTTTCACTCTTGATTACTCACATCCTCGTTCCCCGGGTATATCTCTCGCTCTCGATTTAGATTGAAATTGATAATTTGATCGGAATCTTTTAGAACTACTCCCTCGGCCATCTTCTCTGCCTTATCCCTGCGCCGTAATCAACGCGTTGCGACAACGTTTGCGACGAGAGCAATGGCTCCCGCCCATTCGATCTTCGTTTGTAATGTAGCTAATGCGGGATAAGGGGAGGGGGGGGCTACGACTCGGATAAATTCTCTTGTACAGAAAGCAGGTTATAAATAACTTGGGGGGGGGGAGTATGCCCCCTGCTTCGGTCCTCGGTCGTCAACCCCTCGCTCGTTTCTCTTCGGCTCGTCTGAAGCTCATTCATCAGGAATCGCTTTTTCTCGAAAGCATCGACAATCCGTGGCGTCATTTGCTTATCGATTTTCATGTTCAACATCGAGAGCGTGTCACGATTGATTTTGTTAATCGTATTAGAAAGACTATAGAGATTACATAGAGCGTCGAATAAAACTTGGTGCATTTGACCAAGGTTTGATTCTTCAGAAAAAAAGTTAGGTGCAAATATGAAGTGAAATTGACCTTTTTTTTTCTTCTTCCTATAAAGTCTCTAGCCGGGCGAGACTTGGAGTCTTTGCTTGGAGACAAGCTGTCGTCGCGCGCAAGTGCGCGCGACGAGAATAAAAAGGACGTCGTTGCATCTACAATAAGTAGCAATGACCTTGACTAGTGTATTGACTCGAAAGTCCCGTCTTCCTTTGTTCTCTGGCGGCTGTCCGTTACGGAACCCGCGCGTTCCCGCAAGTTCTCGCTCTGTTCCTCGCTAGTTAAGGTCAGGATCGAATTCAATATGTACTCGCGAGCGAATCCGAGCGAATTCCGATACTTGACTCCGATACTTCCGCTCGATGGGATTGGATTACCGTCTGCGATTCCGCTATCTCGTTCGCTTCTAATTTAAACGAGTCCGCTCCTTCAAACGCGAGAAGCGCGAAATTTGCGAAGCGCGAAATCTCCAGCGGGGCTATTCGCGCCAGGAAGAATCGAATCTCTCCGCGAGGTCAGGGGGAAATCGCGGTTCCGATTAGCGAGCATCTCGTGAGAACGCGTGATTAGCATTTTTCAAAGTGAGTCCGTTTCCAAAGAAGGATAAGCGGAGTGCGCGCGTCTACGCCCGTTCCGCGTACACAGAAAAAGCCTCTATCTTTAACGATTCATAATAACGTCCTTGTCTCTTTGTTTGAACGCGCGCCAGCACGTGGCGGCACGTCAGTCGATATGGAGTACATCGATGCAATTGCCTTTGAAAGCTACGTTGCTTCGCTTTCAACGTCATTTCCGCAGCTGTCAATGCGCTCTCCATTGCCAGCTCGACTTTTTCTTTTCTTTTCTTTTCTTTTCTTTTTCTTTTTTTTTTTTTTTTTACTTAAGGAGAGAGAAAGGAAGAGAGAAACGAAAATTCAATTGTATTTATTAATTAAAAAAGAATGAAGAAATGAAGAATTGAGAGAGTGAAGAATTTTGCGAACCGTCTTGCGAAAAATGCAATGCGCGAAATGGAAGGTTTCGCATAAAAAACGACCGTGATATATTAAGTATCTCCGACATCTCGATTTACATTTGCGTTTTCGTTTTTCATTGTCTCTCAATTTAAATGGTATTGTTAATGCAATTTACTAGCGGACACTAACAAATTCATCGCGTAATTCACGAAGGTGCGATCGATATACCGTCGGCACGGAACGCGCGTATCGTGAAAATTGCAGCGTGCCATAACGGCTCGCTTCGCCGAGCCAATGTCAAATCGTTGCTGCAAAAAGCTACTCGCCTTGCGACGTGAATAACATTTTGCCGAAATATTTCTCTATTCGCGCGACGCACGCGTTCGATACGTTATTTGAATCTACGCTCAAATTTTACGCTCAAATTTTCCGACGATATATTTTCTAATATTCTCTAATAATCAAACGAGGAGCTTGCTTCGTCGCTTACGCAATTAACACACATAGCTCGACTGTTTCGTAACTATGCGTAAGAAAAATAAAACAACCGTCGCGCGCGCGCGCGCGTGTGATCGGACGTGCATAGGACGGAACTTACGTTGCGAAAGTTGCAGCGAGTATCGAAATATCACGAAATGAAAATCGACGTTGAACTTCTTTTTCTCTCAGCGTAATCTCTCCTCACTTTACAGGTGTCCCCGAACCGGCGCTGTCTGAACCAGCTCAACAGCTGATCGGAGCACGAAGCGGCGGTGAACGGGGCTACTATCGCACCACCACCCCGCGTTTCGGAGAAATTCAGTCTCGAGTCATCTAGGTAAACAAATAAAATAAAAAAAAAAAAAAAAAAAAAAACAAGAAGTAAGAAATAGAAAATATAAAAGAAATCATAAGAAATCTCTTGGCGGAAAAAGAGATCTGTATCCTTACACCTGGCAAAAGGAGGATAGGAGGATAGCGCAAGCAAGAGCGAAGTGCGTTCTCGCTCGCTTGGAGACACGCCATCATGGTGAAAACTTTTCAAGCGTACCTACCTTCCTGTCACCGCACTTACTCGTGCATTCACTGCCGTGCTCATCTCGCCAATCACGACGAACTCATCTCGAAGGTGAGCTGCCCTTCGGTCAAGTATAACATCATAAATCGCTCGCGTTCTCTTTCGACTGAACGACAGCGATTTCTGATTTCTCACCGCGAATATGATGGATCTTGACGTCAAAGAGACATGTCAATTTGTCATTTTGCATTTTACAAAACACACATTCGGTATTGTTAAGGAAAAAAAAAAAACTAATTTATATTTTATACTTTTTTAATGTCACGATCCAGTATAATTGAGTGGCCAAACGAATTATTATGGCACTATTGATGAAAATTTCTTTTTATTGGAATATTTTTGTTCTTCGATAATTTCTTATAGACTTTCGAATAAAATGTATGAAAACGATCGGATATTTCACGAGCTAGCGTGTAATCAGTTTTCGATTTAGATACACGCAAAGATATTTTAACGCGATTATCGTTATCGATTATGTTTTGTCAGAGATAATAATAATCGTGTCAATCTGAAATAAATCTCTTACTATAAGATATGGAATTGTAGTAAAACGCTCGCGTCTCCGATCGAAATCGTAAATAGTTTCATAACGACTAATAATAGACACTATAGTAACTATCCATGTCTCGTTTTATCGCGCATTAATGAAATTAAATTTTGTCCGTTTCGTATTTTCAGTCCTTCCAGGGCAGTCAAGGTCGTGCCTATCTCTTTAATTCTGTGTAAGTATAACTAATACGTTGAAAAATAGAACAACTTTGAGATCTTTGGCATTGGTTATCTTTATAACACGTACATAACAAAACGTCCTCGAACTCTATTTTTATTCCTTTGAGTTATTATAATTCTTTCGTGGTAATTAATTTTTCTTTAGCAAAAATTGGAGTACTCTTTTATGTTTAACATTTTTATATATAATGTTCTATTTCAATGACTATTACTGTAGAAACATTACTCAAGACGACACATATAAATAAAGTTTCTATATTTTAATCAATGCTACAAGCTTAATTTGAACAAATTCTTTCAAGTATATACAATTTGAAAATTATTAATAATTTCTTTTTGCAGTTTTATAATTAAAACAAATAAAATTGAAGTAAACTGTATTTTTCTTCAATATTTGTCTTTTAATTTTCTTAATAATAATTGTAATTCGTTGTAATTTGGGGGTATTCTTTGTGTGTTTTATGTCAACATCGATCGATACATATACATATAACAGAGAACACATATGTGAGAAATGGAAAAATGATAATTACGTTACGTAGGGTAAACGTAGGTTGCGGTCCCGCGGAGGAGCGAGTTCTGTTAACTGGGCTACACGCTGTCGCTGATATCTATTGCGAGTGCTGCAAAACCACCCTAGGGTGGAAATATGTTAGTTATCTGTTAACTCTTAAATTAATCTTAAATAAAAAAGGTTAATGATGACTGATTCTCTAATGATATTTTTTTAGGAGCATGCGTTCGAGTCAAGTCAGAAATATAAGGAAGGAAAATTTATAATCGAACTTGCCCATATGATCAAGGAGAATGGATGGGAATGAAGAGCAGAGGGAAATAGAAGAATTCCTCGTGCCTCTCATCAAACTTTTCCTGATGATGCCTACAACGTTGTTCTAATTGCAATGTACGGCCCCTCTCTATTCGAACCACCAACGAAAGTCTGTGATTTCATTTGTGATTTATAATCTTAGTAATCTTCGTTTCGGACAATTCATACAACATCGGTTTGCTTCTGATCAAATCGAGCAAGCGAAGGTATCGCGCGGCGATCCGTATTCGTCGATGGACGACGCATCACCAAGTATCGTAAAGAAATTATTTTTCAATGGAAGAAAAAAGTAGAGTAAGATGACGATGTCAAGTAACGGTGGGACATGACGATGAAGGTGCCATGGTGGAAATAAAAAGGCGAGATTGCTCGGTACGAGCAATGGGGTGCCCCCCCTCCCTAATTTTGATTCATTATCTTTGTAGACATTGCGTGCAGTCGTGTGTCAACACTGAATGTTAAAAATTAAACGTGCGGGGCACCCCGACAATCAGTTTTATCTGTTTTACGCACCGAAACAGCGCAAGTGCCACAGACTTTGCCGGACTGATTGCCTGCCTGCCGCGTCTGTCATTGTAATTTCACTGCCGATATTCCTAATATTAATTAAGAATGCTACGTCGTATTTAGACGCGGCGTAGTAGTAGTCCTAGTTTAGTATACATTATAGAGTACTAAAGCCTATATTACATCATTATAGGACCTCGTCGGTATATAGAAAATAGAAATAAATAAGAATAATGGAGGCAAGAAGAGCAGAAGAAAAACAGAGTGTGCGTGCGTGTGTGTGCGCATGTGTATGTATGTGTGTGCACATATGTATATGAGAGAGAGTAAGAGAAAGAGATGAGGGGAAATATAAGAAAAGGTCTGATTATGTGTCACATGTACATGTTTGGTTTTATGTTCATTATGTCTGCCAAACTATCTGTTTATCTGCCAGTTGCCACTGTTATTATGGTAGTATCATAATGTAATATGTTTACATTTTCATCGGCTGAGTAGGGTATGGTGTGATTGAAGTTTTCGTTGAGAAATCTTGAAACTGCGCCTTCCTATGCACGCAATATAATATTTAAAAGATAAGGATGATTGTGCTTGTTTTCTAGAATATTTCGATCTCGTTCATAAAAATATTTTGTAAGATTTAATTGTATTTAACTTGTTAATGGATTGCTAGTAATGACGGTTGCGCGAGCATATAAAAAATAATTTCACTGAGGATTGATCTTTATTAGTCACTAAACTTTTGATTGCACAAGTTTGCAATCAAATATCCATAATAGAATTACCGCTTCTTATACTACGTTGATGCATTTTCATGCAATTTAGCCTTCGCGTAAGAAGTTTTTCCTTGGCATATTATTATTATAGAGGCTGGTTACATACCATACATGGAACCTATATCATTTGTGCTATATATATTCCTTCAACAAGTTCTTCCATCGCTATCTTCTTGTTATAATTAATTATCGAAACAATAGTCAATGTCCAACAAAATTCGGAATTGATAATGAGTGCACTTATTAGAAAAATATTAATTGCGTCTATACATGATACTTAATGATTGAACCGATGACTCTACGGATATGACTCGTATAAGCTGTTGTTTAATAACATTAATCATTATTAAATCGATTAAACTCGTGATCAATTAACTCGAAATCGATTAACTCGTGATCAATTGATCTTTAAAAAAAAATACTTCTTTTATAAGCATATTATTATATTAACAGGAAGATAGCTCAATTGTGTTTTATTGTATTAAGCGATAAATCTGTTTATATTGTATAAAGTATTTTGTACAATGTCAGATTTTTGTTTGCACTGTTTCCCATTAAGAAATTATATGTAGGCAAATCATGCGTTCAGCTTTCAAAATGCATACATATGAAAGTGCAGTGTATTCATGCAGTGTATGTAGAAAAATGTTTGCCTACCTAATTATTTGACTGATTAACTGACTGATTGGCTGACTGACTAACTGACTAACTGACTGACCGACCGACCGACCGACTGGTCGAAAGATTAAACGAATGAATGAATGAATGAATGATTGTGCCGGCCTAATATTCACGCTGTCACTCAAAGAGTACTTTTTATATTAATGTGCCGATATCCTTATCCGCACTCACCTTTTCGGAACCTTGTTAAAATGTACCTATCGACACTAACTCTGTAGTCTTCAGCCTCCACAACTTCCACCATCACAAAATTTTGCTTTGTAAAACGTGTTCTTAATAAAAAGAAGAAAAGAATACCCAAAGTATTGAAGATAATTTAAACGCGTTTTCTAAACTTCATGAATAGTTTTGTAACAAAGAACATAACATAAGGGAAGAAATAAAAGGTAAGTCAGTACAATTTAGTTTTAATTTATTTTAAATTTTTGACATGATCTTTTCATAACTTCTCATTTGTTCTAACGCATTATGAATAATTTGTTTTCACATAAAATGAGCATTAATCTTCGGCGCTAAATTTCAAACAGAATCCCGTTTTGCGCATGCGTCTCTCGTGTAGCTACAGTATTAAAGTTGGCAACGCAAACTACGAGTTGCGCTTCTGTCTTACATGTGTCGAAACAGATTACAATGGATTCCGCCACGGTCATTTGATCGTTTCCTGCGTTAGCGTTAATTCTTATGATTATTGTTTCTTTTTTTGTTCCCTTTTTGTTTAAGTGTGAGTCAATTTTTTTATTTATCGTTATTCCATACTTTATTAGACACAAAAACTAAGCGTTAGGCTAAGTTACACTGCCTAACTTACTTAAAAATTAATGATGAAAAACGCAAAGGCCAAAAATTCAAGGTAATCAAATTCATGGAATTTTTAATGACGAAGTTATACGCCTCATCTATATTACCTGCTAATTACGAATGAAGCAATTGCTATTCATAATTTAATTACAAACTGAATTATTTCATTGTTTTTTAATTTATAATATAAATTTTGTAGAACATGCTTGGGACATTTTAGTGATCAAGGTGGATTGTTTGACGTTGTCGTACGTCCGATGCTACAACAGGGACACGAGGGAGAATTATGTAGTTGGTTGAAAGAAATGAGTTTAATTGGTACAGTCTGCAGTTGTCCTCATTCAGATTGTAATGGACGTAGTTTGATATGGAGCCCTGCAAGAATTGTAGACAAATACATTTGGTCTTGTCCTGATTGCACAAGAAGACAGTCTATAAGAGAAAAATCTTTCTTCTTTGGAATAAAGTGTGACCTGAAAATGTGCCTTCAACTGATACTAGGATGGTGTCAAAAAATTCCTTGTGAAGTTACTGCTTCTTACTTAGGTTCCTTATAATTTTATAATTTTTATAATTATTATTTTTTATAATTTGTATAATTTGTATAATTGAGATACTGTATAACTATAATTATGCATACATATTATTCTAGATGTAAAGAAGCATGTTGTTAGAAAAATATACGAACGATGTGATGAAGTTTCTGCAATCTATGTTAAGAAACATCCAGAAGATTGGTTATTAGGCAGTGAAGGTGCAATATTAATTGTGGATGAATTTCCTGGTGGTTATATGACGGAGCATCAACCAGATATAAATTTTACTAAAAAACGCAATAATAATTCACATACAATAATATGTATAGCAGAAGCAAATACTATACCACCTCGCATATGGCTACATATGATCGAAGCTGTACCAGAGGTATAATGTTTTAATGAAATATAATAATTAGTTGTTTTACATATTACAAAAGTGATATGAATATTTGATGGACATTGTTTAAATTGTATTTAAATAATATTTTACAGCCACAGAAAATTGATAAGTTACAAACAGGAGTCGACAAGAGTAATATGATAAAAGAAGCTCTAAAAGAAATTGCAAGGCATATAGTACCAGGAAGTTATATAGTAGCAAGTGATCGTGCTTGTTGCTGCAGTTATGAATCTTTACAAAGTTTAAGGCAATATAAAATTATCAGTGTCGAGCAGCTGCAAAAATTTGATCCACCTGGTAAAAGTAAACTTGTTAATAATCTCGGTAATTACTTTGTTTTAATAATGTTTATGTATCTTTGTGTGTTTCTCTATCTGCATAGTTTTTGCATTATTATTTTTCTCTATTTTAAGAAACAATTTGGCAAAGTGCCACTGAGGTCTGTGAGGAAGTTCAAGAAGCTACACGTACTTTAGGCCAACATATTATTGCTAGGCATTTATGGAGACAAAAATTTGGTGGATCACTTTCTACTGCGTTTCAAGATATGCTGAATCATATTGCGGAATATTATCGATTTTCTCAAAGTTAGGTACCAATTTTGAAATCTTTTGCATCATTGCGTTATGTAATTACTACTGTATATGACAAATTACTTTTCAAAATAACGTTATAATTTTGTATAAACATATACAAGGTGAATATTGATCAAAAAGTCAATTTAAAGATTTTAGATTATATACAAAAGTTTCACAAATTGCCTTATTAAACCATAAATATTCGTAAATGATATAAATACACACACACACACACACACACACACATTTCTACAAAACTTATTTTTTTATGTGCGCGAATATATAACAAAGTATAAATCAAATGATTATATTATTAAGTCTTCCAAATATTAATAAGACATTACTCATATATAAAATTAAGTATTGAGTACTTGTTGATTAGAGTTATACAATGAAAAGATAAATCGGAATTTTCTTAGAAAACAAAGTATGAATGGTTAGGCTTGGCTTGGCTTAATTTGTATAACAAATTTTGTCTAATGTTTTTATATCTTTACGCTAATATTGGCAGAAACTAATATTAAAAGACTGACTTTAATATTTTATTGATAAAATCAATAAAATATTAAAATAATTTCAATAATAATATAGCAATACTAGGATAAATATAAAATTGTAGAACGCGTATATATGTTTTCAATCGAAATTGAAATTGATATTAATTGTTATATTCTTAAGCGAGAATATCGTATTTCTTTTTAATATCCTCAAATATTCAAATACGCACAAAACTAACTTTATAATATAACTTTTTATATGTATATTATTTACAGTGAAATTTCTCTATTCTAAAGTTAGTTGAACATATCCTTTATTCTCTAAAATTTCTCCCCAGTCTTTATTTTTATTTAATTAATTTAAAAAGACAAAAATACCATAATATCTTATAATAATCATATAATAACATGATCACAATTGTATAAGAGAGGAAGAAAGGCAGAGAAGAGAGGAGAGCAATATAAAAGGAGGAATTAGAGAAATTTAGAAAATATCTATTTTAAGATGGAGAAATTTGACTATCTATTGTTTTCATATATATATTTGTTATACAATATCTTAGTTTTACTGTTGGATGTAATTATATATATCTAAAAGAGAAAGCAATGAAAGAGGAAAAAGAAAGAGAAAAAGAACTCACATTGTAATCTGTTTACAATTGATCATAAAATTATAAATAAATTTTTTAAAATGTTATGCTTTTATTAATAAACCATAAACAAAAATTTTTTTACTTTTAAAAAGTTTAAGCTAGGCTTATATTTTGTAATAAATAAACATTTGTTAAATTTTTATTACTTTGATTTCTAATTATAATAATAATAAAAGTAAAAGTTAAATAATAAAAATTTTTATATTTATCTATATTTTCAGAAAAAAAAGAGATAATAGAAAAATTTATTAATAAAAGATTTTAGATAATAGGTATTATGTAAGAACTAAAATAAAAAAATTAAATTTATGTATTATGTTATACTGTTTATTAATAATAAACACGTTACAGCGGTAATAAAAATTGAATGTGAGTTTAATTTGTAATTAAAAAATTACATCTAAGAAAAAAAAAGTGATCCCTGAGGGGGCACCCGGGTTTGAACCGGGGACCTCTCGATCTGCAGTCGAATGCTCTACCACTGAGCTATACCCCCAACTTGTTTGATACTTTCAAATATATACATTTCAATTTAACTTCAAAATTTGTTATATTTATTAAATAAATAATTAAAAACAAAATTTATACCTGTGTAATCTCAAAGTAACTTTTATTACTTGGAATAATCATTGTTGACTTTCAATGACTCTCTCAAGTCAAAAAAATTTTTTTAATTATCTCTGATAACAACAGGAGAAATTATAATTTTATAATTTTAAAACAAAACTTGAAAAAATTCTTTTATTAATAGTTTTTTACTATATTTTTTGTTAAACCAAACATCGATTTTTTACATCTTGAGCAATTTTTCAAATTCTTGATTTCAAAATCTCTTTAACATTAGTTTTAATTTTAAACATTTTAAAGAAAGATTTTATATTATTATTTGATAATATAGATCTTTTTGTTGACATGTTCTTGAGACGCGGTGGTATCTAAGCAACCCTTATGTTAACTTGCTCGTGCTAATGCAGAGCGTTCAGTGCGCTTCCCACCCTCTAAAGGTACGTTTCACTGTCGCCATAACGAGTCAACCTCGTGGCCGAAGAAACATTTGACAACTAAACTATAGCTTTTGAAATCTGGCGCCATTCGGAATAATGAGCAAGTGACACGATTTCGTTGCGTAATTCATAGCGCAAGGTAAGTATATGTATACACTTATTAGTTAAATATACACATTAGATATTATTAGAGCAATGATCGACTATACATTCTTACATATTATCTGATTAGTATCATATATAAACATCAATACATTTCTATTTATGTATTGCCCATTCTTTTCCTTTAATATAAAATGTTTTCTATTATTTTTCATTCATTCTCTTTTTAATATTATACATTTAGAAATAAATATATTACACATTTAGAAATAAATATAAATTTAAAATTTCTTTTAACATAGATTTAGAATATTGAACAAAAGAAATGTTGATATTTTTTTCTTACAAAAATTAAAAAAAAATGTATTTAAAATATAATTTAATTAGACAATGTAACTTAATTTTTATAAACTTAATTCTTAATAAACTTTATTCAGGCCATTACGAACTGACAAACTCATGATAAAAATTATCTTTTATCCGATATTCTAATCTTCTTTAATATTTCAAAATTAATTTTATTATAAATTATGTAAATTTATTTTAATATGTTTTTCAATCTCTGCTTAAAGAATATATATTTTTAATTTCTAAAGTCTTATAATTTATATATGTTGATAAGATTTTTAAGAATATTGTTGTAAAGAATGATAAATAATTTTCCATAGTCTATCTATTTTTTTATAAAAAGTTTGTTTTTGTAACTTTATTAACATGAAGAAATATAAATTGAGTCATTATTTATTCTTATCAATAAAAGTTAAAAGAGCAATTACTTGTAAATTGTTAAATTCTCATTTTCTCAGTTGTATATGTCCCGATTGTATTTAAAACTGTATCTGAAGCGCACTATAATTATTTCAATCATTTAATTTAACTTTTGCGAGCAAATGTGCACGCGATATGTGTATCGCGTTTCGATCGATTACCAATTCGGGGATCTCAGTAAACAATAAACACATGATACACGTCGAAGCGTGATGCATGTAACGCGAAAAGGCGGAGAGACGTTATCGTTAAATATTAATGGTGCAACATCACGAGGAGAGCGAAGGTCTCGACGAATTATTAACGGAGCAATAACGATCGATGTGCGGCATGGTGAATCAACGAAATAACGATTTTCAGTCATCGCCGCGTTCGTTGCAGCGCGAGTTCGTTGCACGTACGCGCATGTATGTATGTATGTATGTATGTATGTATGTATGTATGTATGTATGTATGTATGTATGTATGTATGTGTGTGTGTACGTATATCTCGCGAAGAGTTACACTAACACTATACAAGATCTAAAGCTCTTATCTACTCTTACGGTTCAATTAATCTAGAAGCGATTTTCAGATATGCTAGTCTTGTAATTAACAATAATGCAGCGTTTCTGAAAAAGATAATTGACAACATCTTCTCGTTAATTTCACGAAACGAATTTTACTTGAAAATTTTTTAATTTGAAACTTGATTATGTAGCATACGTTTTTTTTATTATATTAGGTTTGATCTTTATGCAATTAGTGTTCGTTATCTCTTGTTAGCAAATTTAGGCAATATTAACGCGATATAAATGTAAGAACATCGTTTAGACAGATGAAAATTAGATAAAAATTATAAAGATAAGTTAAATGAAGTAGATTTCAAAAAGTACAATGACTTCTTCATTACTTCTTCATTTACGCCGCCGCCATCTAAATGATCCGCGATATGCATACCAGGATTAAATAGTCCCCCTCGGTGTTTTAAGTAATCAGTTTCCCGACAGCTCATACGATCTACGCGAGGTGAAGATTAGAATTCGACACGTGACGACCTTGCCGTGGTATCAGCCATTATGATTCTTTATAAGTATTCGCGTGTTGTGACCGTCGGTTTCTATGGTAGCGAGTGACCTGGTCAGTTCACCACGTGGTCAGTAACTGAACTTTGATTTAGAATCGAAAATTTGGGTCGTACTTAAATTGATGCTTATTTTAGGATGCGGAGCATCGTTACAGATTTTACGGCAACGTCCTTCACGCGCGCTGATACATAAATCGATAGTTTCATTTTTACGACAGCTCCACATTTATTATTGCGGCGTGTTGCGAAACGCTTGAAATTTACTTATTTCGCTTGCGTGTACGTGTGTGTCTGTGTATTTTTATTTTATTCACGTGCATCCACGTGCATCCATGCTCGTCTTGTCTAGCGATTAGAGCGAAATTCGCTCAAGTTACGCCCACAATGGACGGTTTCCGATCGAATTTCTTTCAAGCACCCCGATCTACTTCGCTCGGGTGGAGGGACCAGACGTCCTCCTCGGCGGGTTCGGATGGGTTCGATCCGTCGAGAGGTCCGAAGATGCTTCCACGCGACCGGTCGGAGTAGTCGCGAGTAGGTGCCGGAGACGGGCATGGACACTAAGACTCCGCCGATCCCGCTCAAGTCCCAGGAGAAACCTCAACCGAGGAGAGCGGATCGCGTGGCCGACGTGTCCTTGCCCCCGCTGACACCGTACCCGAATCATCGTTCGTCCAAACACAGATCGTCCGGCGCGCCGTGGTCGCAGGATCCACCCTGCGTTCTGCAGCATCAGGATCATCGCAAGAGGAGACCGTACAGGTAAAGACCTATCGCCGCACGATATTGATTTTCTTTCAATCAAACTACTTAAATTTGCTCCTCTATTTTCGTCCACGAAGTCAATCCGTCTGACGGACAAGGTTCAACGCTATACTTACATTCAAACGATTGCGTCCGTTATCGGGGCTCGAGCCATGCTTGATGCAATCTCT